TGAGCATGCTTCATTTCAGGTACTGTCACTATTGTTCGAGCCGTGCAGTGGTGGAGCGCTAGCAATTTTCCTCGATGATGCTAGAAAAGCTCTTTCTCATGGGTAAATTTTCATAGCCTATTTTTTTGTGAAGGCTTTTTGTTAACACTTGCTTAAAGTGACAACTTCTAAATATTCAATAATTTCCTCTAGGGCATCATACGATATCTCGTTGGAGCATAAAGTGCACTTCTTAGCCTATCATCTTCATCGATTCGCTATGAATATTGCGCAAGCATTGGTCAGTGTTTCATTTTTTTTTTTGTCTACAGCTCCAAATAAAGTAGCTGTTTCGGGAGAGATTTCCATTGGTCCGAGGGTAGGTTCTCGTCTAGTAAGGAATTATATCCCCCATTCGTTCGTACGCTTTGGTTGATATTACTCCATTGTTGGTATAACTTGTCATGGAGGACAAAAACTTCAGGTTGAATGTGATTTGCCCTCATATGACGCTATTCAGGCTAGATGCTCCTCAATATTGGGGAAGGGGGGGGGGCATTTTTTATGGCTCTAGGCACGGGGCTGTTCTGAAGAGCTATAGGGAAAATTTCAGTGTTCTCTGTCTCAGCGCGTACATATGCTCTGAAGCTTTTCGGAGTTTAGGGCCGGAGCTCTGACAGTGTGCCAGGTTCAACAACACCATGAACACTATCGACCCCTGGGGGAGGGTCGTTCTGGGAATCCCCATCCGCAAGGGGAAGACGTACAGTTGATTTCCTACGTGACGCTGAGTGATTTTTCTTCATCTACGTGGACATTGTCAAGGCAGATATAGCCGAGTGGTTGAGAGGTTAGACTCATGTCTGCACCCCTGAAAACCGCGAGTTCGATCCCTGCCGAGGTGCCTGCAAAAATTGCAAAAATGGTTCTAGTACCAGCGTCAGGCCCAGGTTGACAGGCCGGCTGATGAACCCCGTCACACCAAACATGTCTAAAGTCGAAAAAGGAATCAGTGATAAAGCTAGGACGTCACCCGGAAGTGGCGCGCAGAACCCCCGCCCGAGTTCTGTGGTCAGTATGCGAGGGCTACCGAGGAGTGAACGGCCTCGGCCAAAGAAGCTAGTTCGAATTGGGACTCTGAACGTAGGATCGCTAACTGGGAAGTCCCGAGAGGTTGCTGACCTGATGACGCGCAAATATCCAAGTCCTATGCCTTCAGGAGACGCGATGGAAAGGTGCTAAGGCCAGGGAAATCGGGGAAGGTGTCAAGCTCTACTACAATGGAGAAGACACCAAGCGGAACGGCGTGGCCATAGCGGTAGCGGAGTCGCTCAAGGACTATGTCTCCGCTGTGAACAGGATCAGCGATCGGATCATGGCTGTGAGGATAGACACGAAGGAGGGGTACTGGACAATACTCTCCGTGTACGCAACCGCGAGCCGGTTGTCGAGGACATTGCCAATAGAGTTCGATTTTTCGGCTAACGTCGTTCACCATCGCCTTGTTCTGGCTAAAGTTGTTTGAGCTATGCTTATTACAACAAACAGGTCAACTGCTTTTAGACTTGTTGATTGTCTCGAAAAGAACGCATGGAACTCAGACAGCCTAAGAAGGCACGCCCTTCGTGGAATTTTACATGAGTTCTGTGAATTCGCTCCTTTTCTGCATTCTTAGCGCATGTTTCAGTGGCAAAGACCGTTAAACTCGAGGCTTGACGGGCTTTTTGGGGCAATTTTGAGTGTCTCACTGGTGACTTACAGTATTCCCATTCTCTGATAGACCAGTTACGATAAAAGTGCCCTTGAAGTCGTGCATATCATCGAATTCACGCCGATATGCTGCCAGCATAAATTCAAGCTTGACCTTGATCAGCAGCCCGTTTACTATTGCAGTCGACTTGTGATCGGATAATGGGTTCAGAGTCGAAGAATCCACAGTATGAAGTATAAAACTGCACATTGATATCAACTATAGAAAAATGTGGGTGACCGTAATCTATTTTCTACCATGTTAAAGAAAATGATTGCTCAATTCGATAAACATTTTGATGCGCCATGCACCCTCATTCCATTCAAATCGGTTATTGAATGTGATTTAGTCCACATTCTAGTCTGATGGCATTGTGGTGGGTACATACATACGTATCGACGCCAGTCGTGTTACTCTTTTCAAGATAAATTTCACTCGTAACATCAGTGATAGCAGTTGTCAGGCGCAAAACGAATAGGTCCCATGTTTTGGCAATTCAAAGGCCCAAACACAACGTTGAAGTGGCAGAGAAATTGTGATAAAGTCCCTCTCCACTTTTTCGTAATTATTATTACTGACATAATCGGCCTGCTGCCTGAACTTACTCGCAGTTCCAGTCATACTAGGTTGCTCGAGAACAGACAGATTTATCATAGATGTAATACGGCTTTTCTTGTAGTGGTAAGGTTCGAGCAACTTGAAGAAACCACTCGAACTTTGAGGGACAGGGTGAAGACCGCGATTGGCTGGGTTGGGACCGTATCACTAACAGCGTTATATACCACTGCCCTTACGAGCGTTATTATTGAAAGTGTAAATATACAGGGGTGGCCAAAAAAAGAGACACTTTGCCCATGGCGCACATCATCGAACTTTTCGTCGCACAGGGTGCCGATGTTAATGAAAGTTTTACGGTGAAATATTCCTAAGGTGTTCCCCCGTAAACAGAAGCAGGCCCTCCTTCACTGCCCCGCCGTCTTCAGAATATGACGTCATCTGCCGCCACCGTCGAGCTCAACGAGGCTTACCGTAATCGCTCCGGCCTGAAGCTGCTACATAATTTCTTCAATGGATTAACTGTTGAATAGCTTCCAGAGACATTAGCTGTGACTATGCAAAACCGCTTTTGACCAGCGTTTCAGGGACGTCGTAATGGTCTATGGTACCTCGACGACCTCGTTGAGCTCGTACCGCGAACCATGTTTCCGTGGGAAAATCTTCTGATGTCGTCGGTGTAGAAGGCTGTCATGTAATTTAGATAGATTAGAATGTGCTCTTCAATACTGAGTTGGGGGCAGTCGATTTGATTTAGCAAAGTGTGATTAATGCTGTCTGAAATGTGGAGTCAAGTGTCTCTTTTTTTGGCCACCCCTGTATTATAAAATATTTGAGGCACGATAATAAACAGTGGTGACGGAATTTAAAGACAAGCTTCGGGATAAAATAGGTGTGGAAGAGCGTTCACTAATGAAGCTAGAGGTGGGAAGTGGTCTGGAAAAGAAAAAAAGCAAGAGAAACCCCCGATTACGCCCCAAATAGGACCTCCTCTATTCAGCCGCATTCCACCTTGGGATAGAGAAGGCGTGTTGGACGAGTTTCACGACCTAGCTCCAGTTGCTCCAGTGCCAATGACATTGAACCGCAATGGACCGCTGCCGCAATGCGCCCGCGCTTTTCAAGCAGCGCCACGTGGCAACCGACAGCGGAAGGCGGGGCTTGCGGACGAAGGTGTGGATTGCGGGTCGGACGAGCTTCTGCGCCTTTGTCGCGCACTTTCAAGCCGCAAAAGGGGCGCGACATCAACGCTTGTCCGCCTGCCTACTGCGCTTGGGATGGAACAGGTGGATATGTCTAATCCCACAGCGTACCTTTAAAGCTGCGATGACTGCACGCAGCCGCACGTGTTGGATACAGCTCCCCTACCCCTTTGACTTCCTCGTCTTTTCTTCGGTTGAGGCAAATGCCTTTTTTTCAGATTTTCCTTCACGATCAAGGCTGTACACATTCACATATCACAGTGGAAAACGTTTATTTAGCATCAGACTACAATGATCCTTTGGACATTCCATGCGATCAAACTGTGAAACTTGGCGATTTTTGTGAGTTGCTTTGAAATGCTGCGTCATTTTCCATAAGACACATTAAATGTTCTGTCAGGAATTTGAAGGCATAATAATTCCTTTAAGGTTGGGCATCTGTGCCGCGGGTGAAGTGTGGGACGAGTTCACTCTCCACAAAATCTTTTACCACCTGAAACATCGATAAATGATGAAAACTGTTCGAGCGCAACTGACGTGTAAGCTAACCAGTTTCTCCGTCGTCTTTTACTATTTCGTTATTTATTTTATTTCTGTAATTGCTAGTTACCTAGACCGTTTCAGCTGGCAGTATGGGTTATTGTTGGCATCCATGGTGACCTTAAACTCTGCCCAGGCTCTGATTTGCTTGCCACCGGATGCACTTCTCACTGATAGAATCATCAAAAACTATTACACGTGCCTTTCATCAGGGATTCGTCAAGTGTGAGTACTTCGTTGAACAAGTGCAGTGCTTCTAAAAAGTAGAAGAGAGCTAATTGACAGGGAGTGAGAAAGTGGGTGACAGCTAATCGATCTCTATCTTTTTTAGAGATCCGTACATGTCATCGTTGAAAAGCAAAATTCTCATGTGCTTAACGTCAAATGTTCGGAGTCGAGCGACTATGAAGAAAATTGAGGTGAGCGTTTGTGAGGTGTTGAAGATCAGCTGCTAAGTTGATATAAGTTGAATTGATTTGAATTTATCTTCCGCCATTCTGGAAAGGATGTGAGATCTTTTTTAGATTTCCAAATGTCCACCTTTCACAGCTTTATGAAATGTTTGAGGCTTGCGCTTATTTAGCTCATAGGTGGCCTAATTACGTGCCAGTGAGTACTGAAGCTTGTCTCTCCCCTCATTAACGTCTTAAATATTTTTCACCAAAATGTATCATTCAACTCATCCTTTGCTCAACCCAGTTTCCTCACTGATCCGCATCGAAAGATAGTGCGATGCACTCAAGGAGGTCTTGTTTGATTCTGGGAAAAGCAGCAGGAGCCCATCGGTTGCTTTTGTTAACATATACCGCAAGTGTTCTAATGGGAAGTGCAGACTGATTTTCCTTCCATTTCCTCTCGTGGAAAACGATATTTTCGAAACCGTGTGCAGTCAAAACGTAAGTGATGTGGTCGAAAGGTGTTGGTGCTATCATGAATATTCCTTCGAATGAAGAAGTATCTGGATATCTAGGAACTACAGTCAAAATGCTGGGCTATGAACAAAAGCTTTCGCCCCACTCTAGACTAGAACCCGCACCTTCTCCTTACGGGCGCGTGCGCCACAGGGTACGCTGCCGGGACACCATTTCACCTTGATTTATAAATTAGACCTAAAACAGCGCTTTACAAGAAATAACAACTCGTTACAATGCCAATTTTAGTATTTATTGCTCGTGGAAGTAGGGGACTCTATGGAAAAGCTCACCGGCGGCGCGGACGCGTTTGAAGACGCATTGTTACGTTACCGCAGCGGCGAGGGAACGAGCCAAGTACAGCGCAGCCGTGAATACTTCAATACATTAAGTACATACTGCGGGCAATGATCTACTCAAACGTTACAGTGCCTTAAATATTATAGTAGTAAGTAGGAATCGAGTCCGAAGAAATCACCATTCTGTAGAGCCCAATTTCAACCTGTCCGTGCGCTGCTAAAGTTTTACACATTAAAACCTTGTTTTTCTCGACCCTTTTGGCCCTGGCGGTGGCAACCACCAAATTCAAACGCTTGCATTGCCGCTGAAACAGCATGGTTTTTCTAATCCTGCTAGAGGTTGCTTCAGTCAACCTTCCCCTTCCTAATTATGAGCTAAACCTGCCATTTCATTGTGTGTTGCTGTTAGTATTACAAGTATTTGTGTACAAGTGCAACAATGAATGGGCGCTGACCCCGCAACCGGCCAAGTAAGTGTGACTTTTTCTTAAAATACTTGAAGTAGATCCATTCCTAAATCAAAATTATGGGTTATAATGTTATGCAAGATTATAAACTTTTTCGGCATAACTATGAAATTTCGAATTGTTTCGACATAAGCTTAAAAACTAAGAAGGTGGGCCAATTTTCAAAGCTTCTTAGTTTCTTTGTTTGTGATCGAATAGCTTCCAAATTTCGCCATAATGATACCTATATGCTCACAAAGTAAAACAATAGCTAGAAGAAAAATTTCTCCACGGGGAAAAATTCAGGTCCGAAAGGGTTAAGCAGCCTCCACTTGTTAGTGAGCAAATGAAAATTTGAACAAAATAAAATTAACCCATTGCGGACCGCCGTTATAGCTGCACCTCCGCAGGTTTTTGTCATCTGTTTAATCAGTGAGCGATGACCTATCAAAAATTTAGCCAGTATGCCAATAAGTGATATATCCCGTGTCCAAAAAAAAAATAAACTCATGAGTTTGTAACCTTTCAAAATGCTGAAAAAATCAGATTACTGTCCTTCTCCGCGTGGTGGCGTGCTGCACCATGTGCAGCACGCGGTCCGCAATGGGTTAAATATAAATTATAAATAAAAATTTTATTTGCTCACTAACAAGAGGAGGCTGCTTAAACTGGTGGACTCACAGGTTAGTTCGTTCGCTGGGATCGTTATTTTGTACTATTTCGCGTTTCCGGGAACTCAGTAAGATTAGGCGCTTTACCGGGTGAGCTACAGAGCTAGGACTTCGAACCAGTTTCAGGTCCTGAAGACGACGAATTGTCGAAACGTTGACCAATAAACGTGTTCCACCATAACAACCTGTATGGCACAGAAGAAATTACACAATATTCGAAATTTTTATCGAAAATTTCGAAAAAAACAAAAATTCGGTTTCTAGCTTATCGTCTCAAGACGAATGCCTAGGTACACACCTCATTGCAAATGGCCGGACCGACTTGGTGACCTTTCCTAGTTAGGTTTGTAGGATGCCGATGCCGCGCTGCTTTTTTTTCTCCCCCCTCATCACCACAATAAGCTCTTAGAGAGTTCACCAATACGGTCATCCACCTCTCCGTCTCTGATCATAAAATCATGGCTGTTCCTGCACACGCTTCAACTCCGCTCATTGTTTCTTTCCAAAACAGTCATCGAGTGGGGATAGATGGGTAGGTGAGTGTAGCTAGCTAAATGAATGGCGAGCTCTTATTTTGCCTGTTCGATACCTTGAAGGCAAGCCATGGGATAAAGCTAGTGAGAACAGCGCTTCGCAGTGATGACTGACCCGTGGAACGACTTGAAGAGGAAAGGAAAGGAACTATTGGGGAACGCGGAAATTAAGGAACTTCAGCCGTCAGTAAATTGTAAGTGGTACGTCGCGAGACAGGACGACCAAAGAAGACAAAACACGCGAGAGATCACGCCGTTCGAGAGAGCACGCTGATCTCTCATATCAATAGCGGTGGGTGGGAAGCGTTGCAACGAGGGTCGATGGTTGCAGGCCCCTAACAAGGGAGGTCGTTCAGGGTGTGCCAAGCTTTTTCAAAATGGTTTCTTGCATGACATTGGGGCACATATGGGGACCACAGAAGCATGGTTCATTTTTCCTGAACGGCCTCTGAATACCAGAAAAGGGGTCCCTAGTTCGATTCCTCGTGGTGACAAATTTTTGCATTTCGAGTTGACGTTTCAAAATTCGCGCAAAATGGAGTTAGCATGAATAAGTATTAGTACCAAATTCAAATAGACTTTGATTGAAAAACTGGTGAAAAAGGTGTGACTAGGGACCCCCTTTTCTGGTATTCAGAGGGCCGTTCAGGAAAAATTAACCATGGTTCTGTGGTTCCCGCATGTGCCCCTATATCATGCAAAAGACCGTTTTGAAAAAGCTTGGCACACCCTGAAAGACCTTCCTTGTAAGGATTAGCGCCCTGCCGCGCAGTTTTTGCGACGAAGCTGGAGTGAACTAGATAGGTAGCGGAGTTTTTCTGTTATCTGTCTCGGACACTCCAGCTGTTTCTTTGAGAGCGCTATGTTTATTAACGACGCAGCTGCTCGTGAAGTAGCTTTTAGTTGTAACACAATAAAAAATCAATAAAAAATATTGCGTGTTTAAAGTAAAAAAAAGCAGGGGCCTAGCAACTGCTCTGCTGAAAACATAAAAACTTTTTGGCTGTAGAATGCGTAATAGTGTTGCTTATCTGGCCATTTTACATTGTAACAGTGTTCTGGTGCCGGTGCTATGCTTTGACGGCTCACAGGCTGTGAAAGCTATTGTATTATCTGTGTAGCTCTTTCCAACTCAGCCGAGTATTTCCACAGTATTTGTATTTCCGACCTCTAACATATCAACGATCCAGAATAGATATTCACAGCTCTGCAAACTCCTCATCAAGCGATATGTATGAAATCAGAGCTAACTCCAATTTTCTTGATGCTTTTCGTTCGCTATAAGTTGGTCCTTCACCAAGAGGATTAGGGTGGGAAAATGAGATAGCTCATGGAAGTATATCAAGAGATTGTCAACTAAGCTGCAACGTATCATAAAAACTTGAACGGGTCCAAGAAGAACTGGTTCCTCATTTTGAGTTCTACTTGTGATGAGCTCCAAAGGCAGCGATTACGATAAATTAAAGAAGGGTGATGCTGAGTGATGCGCCAGTGGCAAAAAAGCACGAAAATCCGTTGAGAAAGCGGAAAATCCGTCAAGAAAACGCAAAACGGGACCCCCTTTTTGGCCGTTGGTTTTCACTCATGAACAGGTAACAGCTCAGAAAGCGGACGTATGAACGAGTTCACCGCAACGCGTTTGGTGGCACCATGCCAAACCACGCTTCAATCGAGATGCTCCATTTGCGCCGCTGCTGGCAACGCAGCTCGTCCAAATCACCAACAACTAGTGGGCGGATCGCTTCTGGGCTTTCGAAGTCCTGCTCGGCAACAGCGCACCTTTCGTTGTGAAAGCGCCCATCTTGCCTTCCCCGATGCAGTCCCTTTTTATCGTAATCGCTTCCTTTAAACCTGTCCAACTCTCTATTTCTGTAGCTGCATTTGAATCAGTCACATATACAATCGTTAACTAAATCGGAAATGACTCATGAACCTGTCGTTTTCTTGATATGTCAAAAAAAATCAAAGGTCGTAATACCGAGCTCGGTCTAGGTGATCACCATGTGACTGACTTAACATGTTTTAGAAGGAACTGGTCTCTCTCAACTTCAAAGCACCCGAGTCCGTGACAGGAACGAACTCAGTATTGGTATAGGATCAAGTTCTTGGATCACCAAGAGCTTTACTGGTCTCACTCACTGCCATACAGCTCTTCTCAGAACGTTGTTAAATACTCTAGTAGGGCATCTTAGTTAGCCTCCAAGGTCTCTATGATGATCTCACTACAATCTTTCGTGCTATACATCATACATACTCATATAAGTATTGATAACGAAATATTGTTGTTAATAATAATTCATATATTTGCATGTGCTTGTTAATATTAACTGAGAAGACAAAGAGTAGTATTACTTGTTAACCGAGGGAAACTGCCTCACTAAATCTTATCACTGAGCAATGTTCTGCCACCATTTTAATTGTGACTTTTTGTTTAATTTCTTTGTAGTAGGTGCTGCTACTCTTTGTACTTAGTATTTCATAGATTGGTTATAATATCTATAATCTATATAGGCCACGTGATTCTATGTCATCGTTCTCATCTCATCATCCCCGTGTAATCAGAGCTAGTTCATTTCATTTCTTTACTCTCCTTTTCCTAATTATTATCTTTGTTTCCATTTGCAATTTCGGGTCACGTGCTGTATGTTCAGCTTACGAGTGATTGCTTCAATTTTGTGTTATCAAGTATTTCTAAGTCATTTCCTGATTGCTATCACTCGTGGTTTCAAGTAAAAGGTTTAATTATGCCAAATTGCGTATATTATTGACTGGGTAGGTATCGAGTTGGACTGTAGAAAAAATATCTTTCTACCAATTTTAACACTTTGGAGACCGCGCGTGTTTTACGTTCCGCGGCCGCGCGGGACTTCGTGAAATTTTTAGGGATCTTATCTAGCAAATTCAAAAGAAGAACCCACTGTATAATGCAGAAGAAATCTTATCGGATAAAATGGAAAAGAAAATGAATGAAAAACCTAATAATTGTTTCCGAAATGCGAGCTGAAAGGTCCTATGCGGTCGGAGGACTGCAGCCCACATATGGGCTGCGTGGGCTCCAAGGTGTTAATGATGCTAAATAGAAGCTTTTGTTGGTTTCTCTCTTAACACATTCACGACGGCGCCCCTTTTCCACTTTTCGTGGGACGGACGCGATTTTGTGGGCGCCGCCGCCTCACCACACATCCGCAGATTTTGTACTGTAAATGAACAAAAACATGAATGTCACAAAATAATTTCTGCAATGTCCAATGCGTAAAGATTATCTAAACATATAACAGTAGGATTTCGATCAGAACGACGAATAGTGGTTACGAAAAGAGAGCATTTATTCACTTTCCCCGTGAAGGAATTTAAAAGCATTTTACACTCGATTACGAGATTTGCCCACCTATCTGTCCATTCCTAGCGCCTGGCAAGCGATTATCAGTTGGCAGCCCATATGGGCTGCCATCGTCCCAGGAGCGCATGTTGTTGGCAGCCCATATGGGCGGCCATCGGCGTGAATGTGTTAACACGTTGATGACAGGGCGCGTGACATTTTGCGAGTGAGGCTGCTTCACCTAACATCCGTGACTTTAAGTGATAACTATGCAAACCGTTAATGGAAAAAATCATTTCAGCGATACTTAACGCGTAAAAGTTAAGCGGGGGTATAGTAGATCGATCGAAAGAACCTGCAATAGTTGTGAAAAGCAAATTTTATTCTTTTTCTCTGTAATGGACGTCAAATGTAGTTTTGACGTGATTTTGCTGAGACAAACATATTTTGCTAGTTGTTTAGATTTGTATTTACATCTGTTTCTGCTTTTGTTACATGGTCATGAGAATAGGGGAGCTCATCATGAATTGACCTGCCAATTTCAAAATGCTGAGAAAACTTCTGCTAAACTGAAGCATATTCGACTATTTGACGATGCTGTTTATACTTGTGATGCGCTATCACCCATGAAATAAATACGAGCAATTTGGGAAGAAGTGCAAGTGCGAGAAAAAGGGATGACTTGGGTGGGACGCGCAACCGCGTCACAATGTCAAACGTGGTGCGCAAAGTGGGATGCGTAACTGCGTCACGCTGTCGTCACACATTTGTGACGTTGTGGATTTCCGTGTGTCAGCTGCGTGGAACTGCACCTCTTTTGATGTTTTCGGGAACGCGCCTCTGGTCTCAAATTTTTGTCGATCGCTTCCAAACCGGCCTCAGTCTTTTCATTTGGCCCAAGTAGGATTCCGAGAAAGCTAAAGAACTCCATTTTTACATAACTCCAGGAATCCGCTGCCGAAGTTATTACGCCCAGATCTCTCTTCGTGAAAAGTGTGTAAGTGCTCTGACTAATTGCAAGCAACAACCGGCTGGATACATTAAAAATGAACAAACTTCACCTCAGAGAATCATTTTCAAATTCTCCTTAAGTAATACACTCACTGGGAAAGATGCACGGACCATGATTACCATAAGTATTACAACTCCGCTTTAATTAATATCGTAATAAATTTGAAACCTGCGCAAAAGAAGTTTTTCATGCTGGATCCGCTGGTCAAGCCGCAATGTCGTCAAGAGATTAAAGGAGGAATTCACGATTAGAATGGAGGTCGAGGAAGAAGTAATTCACCTAGTTGAGTAACCACGGACCCCTGAGGGTGCGAACTGATGCGCAATTCGCATCGAAAAATTTGACCTCGGCGACCTATTATGCCTCAAAGTTGGCGGGTCTGGCGATCTCCGCCCACCGACCAGCTGATCACTCGCCGCAGATCTATACGTGGGATTGATTAGATAGCAGAGAGAGCGTGATGTTGAGGAGGGCACAGCGATAAGAGTCGCATCAATGCGCAAATCAGCGGGGAAGGAAGGGGTCCCATTTCTCGGGTTCTGGGCCGTTTCTCATGGTTCTTCCTTCTTTCGTGTACCAATCACCATCCCTGAGTTAATTTGAAATGGGTTGCCTTCCAGCGTGAATTCGTCCTTGAAGAACAGAGTTCCATCATTGCTCAATTGCTGTCGTGATTTGCTAGATCATCAGATTGGTGCTCTTGTTACCCATTATAGTATCCCTCAGTGTTTAATGTCCTTCCAGTCTGGCCTAATAAAAAGGATAAAGCAATCGGCGTTGATCAATCCTCCAGGTCCTGTCCTGATGAACCGATCTTGGTGATATGGAAATCAGTTGTGTTGTACAGCGTAGATCCCAGATTTGATCCCGCACACATGTACAGTGCAAAGCAGACAAATACTAATATTGATGTACACTTTTAACCAGCCAGTCCTGGACGCGGAACCACTTTCAACTGGAGCTGTAACAACTGAGCTCTGGAACGATACAAAAGGCGATGCAGTTCATCTTGAGTAGTGTTCCTTAAATGTGAGTGAGAGAGGCGGGCCAAAATACAGATTTTATCGACCTTGTGATCTCTTGTACCGTTTTTTCGATCTTGTTAGGTGCCGCATGTATGTTAACCATTATTCCGGGAATATAAAGAGAAGCGTTCCCATGATACGCTGCGTGGACGAAGAAAGTGAAAGAATCTCACCGAAGGCTCCATGAGAAAGAGTCTTCCTACTGCATACTTTTTGTCAATTTTTTGGATGTACTAAGCCTGCGCCAAAGAAATGCGCGCTCATGAACGACGAAAAGGATGCCGAAATTAGCTGAGCGAAGATTATGCACGCAGAAGTTCGAGGACGACGAACGGCCATTTGTTCTGGGACTTTCCCAAAAACAGAGAATTGGGGAGGACATTTGTGAATTAACAAGAGAATGAACCAACCTATTTTGATAGATATGGAAAATAAGTATTTTTGAAAAAAGTGAAATTTTCAAGAAGTTTTGAAAATTTGGATTTCACCTCCTGCGATATACGAGGCACTCTACCCCCATTTTAACTTACGCGGGGGCGCGAATCTCGTATAGGAGTTGAAGCAATAGAATCAGTCTCATCATAAGATACCCTCACCTACTGTCGCTTTATGCGAAGTTATGCCCGGAGAAGGCGCCCAATTTCAAAATTATTGCCGGCGTAACGCTTTCATTCCGGACACCAGTGCGACATCATGTTCTGGTGCATCTTGTGGATAAGCAGAGCCTGCCACTGGTTCAACCTCTTAGGTAATCGAAGTGGACCCATAAGTAATGATCACAATGACTGAAATGAAATCGTGGAGATCAGCCCTCCCACCAATTACATTCAACGACGGCAGCAAAACCAGCCATCGTGATCACTGCCTTAGCACCATTCACCTGTCGCAAACCTCGCACGAAGGACCAGTGAACAGCTCATGCGCTCCACTTGGTGGATTACCGCAAGGATCTCATCCATTTATCTGCAGTACAGTTGATGCGCCCACTACTTTTGAAGGCCGAGGTACGATAATTGTTGAAAGTGGAAGCCGTAATGTCTCCTCATACGTACCTGTAAATTTCCAGCGCCTCGCGTCATTCTACCGGATATGGCAGCACTCATTGCAATGTAGATTGTTTAACCAGGTGACGTTCATCAAAAAATGGTTAACACTTGTTCTCCTTCTCTACATCTCTCAACGAAAACTGACAGCCTCCATTGCCCAACTATCACAGCATCAAGCACTTCATACGATGGTCCTACAAAGGCGGAGTTCATAACGATTGAATAACTTATTTGCTTGATCGGATGCGGGCCTCTTCGCTAGCAAAAAGACGTCAAGCTTTGCATTCCCTATATGATAAATCATTGACGAGAAAGTACCCACTTTTCCAACATTCGTCTTGTACACACTGTTTTTAAAAGCAACATCTCATAACTTTTAGTTTGAAAGTTTAAATTACAGCACAATACGAGCCTCTTAAAAACAAAAAACTTTTGGAAAAAACCAATGGAACACGACCTCATGCAGTCTATGCACTTTGAATCACAGTGAGATGGACAATTTCAGGAGGGCCAAATTGTGGACATCACTAGCAACTGCGGTCAATTGCTCGCTTTCAATGCCCGGTGCAATCTGTTAGAAAAGGCGATGTGTGCATACGTCGCACTTTCTCCTACCCTAAAAAGGGCCGTCTGCTCCCAAAACACACAACCACCCACCACCCCACACGTGTTGTGCGCCGCCCACCCAACTCTATTCCTTCCCCCTTCACCCACGCCCACTTCGTTACCCATCCGCACCGATCACCCCTGCCGTAAAGGATGCATTCAAACGATTTTGAAGCAACAATTCGTCGCGTCTTCTTGCTCGTTCTCGTCCACACTCTTCCATGTTTGGTGACTTGATTGAACGTAGTATTTGTAGGAGCACTTCCTCCTTTAAACCAGAAGGAGATTTCCAGAAGAAACGTTAAACTCAGTTTGAGCGCTTTAGATCATGACAGAGAAATATAAAAATGCAACGAATTTTGACTTGTTTTTGTTTGTTAACTGCTGTTTTTGGCCGCAGTTCGCCTTGCGAATGTTTCACAAGAATGCTGGGTTGTGAACAAAACTTTCGCCCCAGGCGGGACTAGAACCCGCACCTCTCGCTTTCCGGGCAAGTGCGCTACCAGTTACGCTACCGGGGCACCATTTCATTCCAACTCAGCTTTTCATGGTTACAAACAAAAACAAGTCAAAATTCATTGCTAAAGCTTTCAGCCTCGCGGTCATTGCCGATATCGGCTAACCGGCTCAACACGTTATACGTGTGAGTGCTGAAAGCTATGGTACGTATACCATGAAAAGCTGAGTTGGGATGAAATGGTGCCCCGGTAGCGTAACTGGTAGCGCACTTGCCCGGAAAGCGAGAGGTGCGGGTTCGAGTCCCGCCTGGGGCGAAAGTTTTGTTCACAACCCAGCATTCTTGTGAAACATAAAATGCAACATCTGACCACGATGGAATGTACAATCGTTTATTACACAAAATAAGCTGCTAGCTGTTACACCTGTAATCAATGGTTTCACAAGGTGGTCGTGCTTTCAATACATGTACAGAGCTACATTCGTCTCATAAAGAAAAGGAGAAAATCATAAAAAGCAGAAGAAGAAATGCTAGACAAATGCGATCACAAAACTTTCCGATGAGTGACAGAAAGGAAAGATGAAGAGGTAATCGGGATAAAAGAGAGCGCGGCAACAATGAAGAGGCTCACTTTGACCAATATTTGAGAGAGAAAGTTGAAGGAATTGCGTTAATTTTCTGGTATCTACCATAAAGTCTTTGCGGCTGATGCGACGCGTGCGGTCGCGATGCAACTTGCCGACTGACCGGTTAATTATTTCGCTAAAATTTTATTTTACTTTTATGCAAATATCCGTGTGATCTGATCTCCATTTATTGCGATGTGGTCGACTAATGTGGTTGAGAGCCTGTACAGAAATCGAAACCCGGAACTCTGAAATGATGTTTTCAATCGAACAGATCATAAAAACGAACTGAAGAAACGAACTGACGTTCAATGACATCTTGTAAGCTGCATTATTGATCTGTAACTGGATGTCAGAGATCTGCACGTATGCATGACTTCAAAGGTCGCTTCACGCCAGGGCTGCTGGAAATCGTTGACGAAGCCGATGAGGCTCCTCGACCGGAATCTCGCCCATCCTGTAAACAGTTCAGCAATGTAAAATTGTTTCGATCGATTTTCAGAGTACTTTTCATACAAACATGTTGTTTGCAGCGAAGCGATCGGAGAACCGCGGAGTGAAGAGCTTTTTTATGAAAAATGACGCCACCTGCGAAGTATCGTGGCAATTTTCTGGGCTCTTTGCCCGAACCGATGTGATACATTCGTCGAGATGTGTTTGCAGCATATCGCATACGCGCAACGAGTCAATTAACATTGAGTCGTACACCTGAAATTGAAAAAATAGGAAAGATTATTGAAAATAAAAACTCTTCGAAAAACTTGAATTTCAAAATTTTCAAGGTTTTTACGTGGCTTCTAACTCAAGGTCCGTTCATACACGGTATCATCACTTTCCAAGATGTTCAGACTGGAGTTTTGAAAGAGCTGTTAATTAGGCTTGATGCTCCCTACTGATACAGTACTTACCAGAACCTAAAGGTGTAGTTACACAACATAAGGCTTTCAGAGCAATTTTGTAAGAAATTTTCCTCCAAATCGTTCCAAAATCGTAATAAGTT